AGAAGGGGCTGAGAAGCTAGTCCATTCAGGCAGAGAAACACCTGTTAGCCCAGGTGCAGAGCTGGAGAGGTCCTATAAAGAGCAACTGTAATGGAGACTGAAAGTGGCAAAAATTAACAGGTGAAAGAATGAGGAACGGGAGGGTCATGGATAGAGGTGAGAGGCAGTGAAAGGCAGGCAAATGTTCCAACTCAACACCATGTTGCTCCATGTAAGATAACGCTCCTCATTTAGTAGCACCCATTCACTAAGCTCTAAACGGATTAGTTTTATTTCTCAAGAAAGTGGTTTTTGACAATGGGTTTGACAATGGGTATACAGATGTAAGAAGGGGACGACAGAGGATGAGATGGTTGGATAGTGTTCTCGAAGCTACAAACATGAGCCTGACCAAACTGCGGGAGGCGGCGGAAGACAGGAGTGCCTGGCGTGCTCTGGTCCATGGGGTCACGAAGAGACGGACACGACTAAATGACTAAACAACAACAACAACAATACAGATGTAGACTCAGTATTCAGTAAAAAGGGCAGACTCTATTTTCACATAATCACTTTTCAGAGTAAAATTATGCTTTTAAACCCCCCGATTATTTGATAAAAGCAGTACAGTTCTTTGGGGGAGGAAATGAAACTTACGGCAACGTTGGAGACACTATCAAGTTTTCAGAAAATGGGGAAAAATCAAAGGACCTAATGTGTTTATGCCTACTAGCTGAGAAGATGAATTAGCTTAGCTGCACTCATTTCCCCAAAGAAGCCCTATTTGTGTTCCTTAGCCACGGCTGGGTATTATTTCTGAATATCTAAACTCTGGCTAGGGATGGGCGAACACTTTATGCTGTACTACAACGCACAGGCTGAACACATTATATCTGTAATTAACTAGTTATATGTAAACTAGTAATGCAGATAGCTATTTTCCTAGTCACCTACGAGATCACTTCCAAGTGACTATGCAGAGAAACATTACACATTATGGGGTTTTGTTAGGTTGAGACCCCAAACTGAGTTACAGACCAACTTATTGTGTGCATGAGGCACACAATTATTACCTTCTTTTGCCTTTTTTTAAAAAATGCTTTTTTGCAAAGAGCAGGAGAAAGAAGGGAAGGAGAGAGGGAGAAACAGAATGGCACACAATGGAAAAGTGGGTTCCATGTGGCAGGTTGGCGTTAAAAGTGACGCCTTGTCAAAAGACTGGCAATGACTGCTCCAAAATATATGAACATTTTGGGAAACATAATGCAGAGTCTAGTAAACATCAGGCCCACCGTATGTTCACAGTTAAGTTTTTCAGAGAAGAGTGTACAGTACTGAGATTTTCTTAAACACCCCAACATTCTACAAAATTCAGACAAGGACATTGTAAAGTTGGTATTATTCTCACTATTTCTGAAGTGAGAACTACACACAGACACACAGCTGAAACGTCTAACAGGGAACAAGGGCAGGAAATGCATGCTTGTATTATTCGCCATGCAAGTTGACTATAATATAATCAAAAGGTTTTGCTATTAACTTTAACTAAGTCACCTTTGCACCTTTGTTATTTAAGGGACTTTGCCTGAGAGGTGTTGAGCAGGCACGACACTTAAGTGCTGCAGGGTGAATGAAGGCCCTGCTCATTTCCACAGGATCACTCTCTGAGCACATGGCTGGCTGTCTCCAATTTGGTCTTCAGTGTTGCTTCAATCACTGCAAACCACTTTTGAGAATGTCAGGGTGTTTCCCCCCCCTTTTAATCTATCAAGAGTTGTACAACCACCAATAACACAAAATTAACAGTATTGCAGAGATCTTTTTAAATGTCACAGAAGCTCACTCGTATTGATATTCTGAACTTAATAACACTAGTGCTGTAACGCTCTGCATCAAACTACTTGAAGCACTTTCATAAGGCAATAAAGCAAGGAATTTGTTTTCACCCCAAAGCTATGTCAGTGACTCTGTATAACTCTATTCAGAACAATTTCCATAAAGAATAGGGAAGGGGGGTGGGGGGGGGAGAGAGGAAGTTCCTTGGTGCTCAGTCTAGGTGCTAAAGTTGTTTTCCTCCTCAATGCCCATACATAAGGAAAGGGAGATACAAGAAGGGAGCTCAGCTTTAAGTATAACCTGCAATATGGGATCCACTGTTAATAACTGACACCTTATTACAGTCATTCTCTTCCTTTTCCTTTTCTGTCCGCTGCTGGTTTTCTTAATACTTTTTCTCATTTTGTCCCTTGTATCTCTCCCCTCCACCCTCTATTTCTCTCTGTGTGTTTTTGAAGGAGAAATACACACACACACACACACACACACGAAATGATGGTGGTACTACAGATGCAATCCACCTTCGGTCTGGACAGAGCCCAGTTTTAGACCACATCTGACATGGGCCACATAGATAATTCTAAATCTGGCCCACGGACCTCTGGATTCTTCAATACATATTAGACGCGAATTCAAGAGTATGTGATATGCAAGACCGAACTCTTGGTGGGGTTTAAGAGGTCATTTTCTTCTGGTTGAAATAAGGCAGGGAACATTGTCTGCTACCTATCCGTCCTTTACTATACCATTTGCAAATTTGAACCATCCCTTCTGGTGCAGCATAACCACTAGAAGGTAGGCCTAAGCAGTCGTCTGTTCAGTGTCAACTCAACCACCAAGTAAACCGGCGATTGTAAAGACTGCAATCTAGAAAGGTTTATGGGGTGCAACTGCAAATCACCCCAAAGCCTGGCTCCATTAATTATTCAGTTCTGCAACCTGCATTACAAAATACAGTTTTGTGCAAAATCCTTAAAAACAACTGGATGTCTGATTATTTTAATGGCATTTATAACTGGCAGTTCAACACTGACAAACAAAAAGCAAAATTCCCTACTTCCCTTCAGGTCCTGCAAATGCAGCTTTTGCTGTCACGCACACCACCTTTTTGGAAGCAGGCAAAAATACATAGTTTTCTCTCAAAATTAAGATACATCAATCGCTGTTTTAATTCACTGCTCAGTCCCCGAAAGTGCAAATAGTGAGTGTTAAAGGTAAAGGTACCCCTGCCCGTACGGGCCAGTCTTGACAGACTCTAGGGTTGTGCGCCCATCTCACTCAAGAGGCTGGGGGCCAGCGCTGTCCGGAGACACTTCCGGGTCACGTGGCCAGCGTGACAAAGCTGCATGTGGCGAGCCAGCGCAGCACACGGAAACGCCGTTTACCTTCCCGCTAGTAAGCGGTCCCTATTTATCTACTTGCACCCGGGGGTGCTTTGGAACTGCTAGGTTGGCAGGCGCTGGGACCGAGCAACGGGAGCGCACCCCGCCGCGGGGATTTGAACCGCCAACCTTTCGATCGGCAAGCCCTAGGCGCTGAGGCTTTTACCCACAGCGCCACCCGCGTCCCCCAGTGAGTGTTACCCCTACCCAAAATCAAAGCAAATGAATGGCAGGTAATTATAAGAATTATAAGAACAAAAAAGGGGCAGAAGTAGAAATCCCATCGAAACCTGGATTGAGACAACCATCTCTTTACAGCAGCAGTCGGAAACCTCTGGTTCATGAGCCAAATTTGGGCCACCAGGCCTCCTCATTGGCAAGTGCCAGTTCCTGGCTGACATTCATCTCACAGGCAAAAGTCCTAAGTGTCCTGGGTCTATTTCATCCAAAGCTTCTGCCCACAGCACATAGCAGTAACATTGGTGCAGTTACTACGTTCAAGCATGATCAGGAAGAAGGAGGTTCAAACCCACACTTTGTCAGAAAGCTCACTGGGTGACCTTCAGCTTATTCTTCTTGTTTAAATTTGTATACCGCCCTTCATCCATAGATCTCAGGGTGGGTCACAGCATAAAAATACAAGCGAAAATGCAAAATACATAATAAAAACAAAAACAAAGCAATAATCCCCTCCCCCCTCTCGCACTGGCACACAAGAGAGGTTGTCAAGGATGGAGACCTTACTCTCTGGCAAATCAGGCCACCTCACGTATTCCACAAACCCCTACTTTTGTTATTTGTGGCACACGTGCTACAGATTGGCTATCTATTAGTTGGTTCATTACAAGCAATAGAAAGAATGTAGCTAATTATGTCAAAAATAATTTGAAATTAAGAACTTTTAGGGGCTGCAATTCCTTCAGGATGACAGCCTGTAAGCACCAAGCAAGCTATAAACTGAAATGAGTAAGTTTAATTAATTCAGACATGCACAACAAACATGTGGTACAGATTAAAGACCCATGAATGAAGTTCTAGCTACCTGATATGCATAGGTAGGTGAAATAGCCGCACTTAAATGAAGTGTGTTATTGCCTCTATAAAAGAAAGTAGCAGAGACGGGCCAACAACTTGGAAAATAAAATAAATTGTTTTAAATGCTTTTCAGTTAAAGACCTAAAGCATTACAATGGGATGCTCAGAGCGTCTATGCTCATTTAACTCATGTTGAATCTAGTGGGGGAAAGTCTAACCATCTTGAAATAACATCACCCCAATTAAAAATTTTAAATAAGAGCAATGATTTTTATGAGTTGGGTAATTCAGCCATTTGGATAGGCTCACTCTGATCTCAAAGCAGCTCTTAAACTTTAATATCATGGAGCGAAAGACAAATCACAGAATGGGGAATAAATGACTGTTTTCTCCTGAAGTCGAGAAGAATCATTATAGTTATCCCATATTCCCTTGTAATGGCTATGGGAGCATGAACACTGCTTTTGAAAGACAGTCTACCCAACCATTTCTACCCAGGCAAATCAAAATGGTTAAAGTCTACTCCCAAACCATTTGCACAGCCTCCCGTTGTAACTGCATTAGTGCTAGTGCAGAGATTCATAACAAATAACTAAAATGAAACACTGATTCTACCAGATTCTGCATTTGTGGTGGGGCTGCAAGGCTGAGTCTCTTCAAATATTACGTAACAACGCCCATCACTAAAGCAGCCTTTTAATGTGGTGCATTCAGGATGCATTTCAACAAAAACACTCTTAAAAGAAATGTAAGCAGTAGATACAATACCAGTGGGAAGCAGGCATTCCAGTGGAGTAAACACAGGATCCATAGCTGCTTATTAATGTTGTAAAACTAAAGCAAAACAAAAAAGCGTGTTAAAAACCACAGTTCATGAACCTCACTTATTAATTCAATATTTTAATTATAGTTAAACTATACCCTAAGCATAATATTCATGAGAAAATGAACAGGGTAAAAAAGCTCAGTTCAGAAATAGCCACAAATTTGCAGGCACACACAAATATTGATTTTAAAATAAATACATTTAAAGCTGATTTACACAGAACCATGGACCGTTACATATAGCAGGTGGCAGGGAGCCCATTCCAGTGTGAAGAGATTAATCTATAAGTACATTTGGCATCAGCCAGATTGATAGATAGTGTGACACACAGTTCAAGGGATTGGAAAATCTGAGTTCTGGAGGAGCAGGGAAGCAGCGAAATGAACGAGCCAAGCTTGAGAGGGTTCAATTTTTAATTGGTAAATATTGATTTTTATAGAAGTAACTTGCCACCTGAAAGCAAAACTGAATAATAAGCAAAATAATAAAGGTTGCATGAGCAATGTATTTACAGCTCTGTTAAAACAGAGTACGTTATAGAAGCAAATGTGATTTTTGTAGAGGAGACATTATTTCCAAATCAACATGTTTGCTGGGTTAGGAACCATGCCATGAATGGAGGTGGGCACTCAGCACAGCTTGCTGTTGGTGTGCATCTCCACTGGCAGTCTAGGGGCACAGGTGGTACACAGCATTGCGCACACCAGTTCCCAGACAGTTGAATTTCTGGGCCCAATTTAAGACAGGGAACATAGCTCAGTGGCAGAGCAGGTGTTCTGCAGGCAGAAGGTCCCAGGAGAGCCATTCCCAGGCTGATTAGACAATGCTAGGCTAGGTGAAAAAGAGAGTCTGAGCTGGCTGGGAAAAGTGGGACCTAATCTGCACCATCCTTCAGCCATGTAGTATAGGGACATAGATTGGATGCTAATGCTCAACTCTGGGATATGTGCAATAAAGAAAAGAATACAAAAGGCCCTTAGTTGCTAACTACTAAACTTATTTATTAAAATTATCTATTGAGTAAAAGCCCCACTTTATTTATTATTTCATGGATAATTATGTTTTGGGGGATTTTTTAAATGCCACCAGTCCAATGGTTAGGGTACAAATAGCAGTTAATTAATTAATTAATTAATTAAGCACATTAATAAGTTCTAGGTTTAAAATAAAAATGTATTTTTAATCTACTAGACAACATGGATTCTGACTGATTGACTCAGATGGTAAATGAGACTGACTGAAATGAAGATGACTACAATCTTTTCTTTTTTTTTTATAGTCATAGGAACAAAATTGTATTCATCTTTCTGCATCAATCCAACAAAGATGCCCAAGGCTCCCAGCTCCTCCTATTTGTTTTAAATTTAGGTTTTAAAACACTCTTTGGGAGGCATTTGGGGTGATGGCCTGCTTTTTCTTTTTTGCTCTTTTCTGGGTTGTGTGTAGCTGCTTCTCCTGCTGTTGCTGTTGTTGTGTGTGGCTTGGCGGGGGGGGGGGGGCTGAGTATACCAGTTTTACTTTTGTTAAATTGGTATTTTCTAATGTCCCTGACAGGGACGCGGGTGGCGCTGTGGGTAAAACCTCAGCACCTAGGACTTGCCGATCTCATGATCGGCGGTTCGAATCCCCGCGGCAGGGTGCACTCCCGTCGTTCGGTCCCAGCGCCTGCCAAACTAGCAGTTCGAAAGCACCCCCGGGTGCAAGTAGATAAATAGGGACCGCTTACCAGCGGGAAGGTAAACGGCGTTTCCGTGTGCGGCTCTGGCTCGCCAGATGCAGCTTTGTCACGCTGGCCACGTGACCCGGAAGTGTCTCCGGACAGCGCTGGCCCCCAGCCTATAGAGTGAGATGAGCGCACAACCCTAGAGTCTGTCAAGACTGGCCCGTACGGGCAGGGGTACCTTTACCTTTACCTTAATGTCCCTGACAGCTTCTTAGATTTCCAAATGTGCTCCTGGTCCCTAAAAATATCTTAATTTCTACTGTCGTCTCCTCTGGTCAAATAGGTTTCTAAAGCATTACAATTTTTTGAACAGATATAGCAGTGATAGGAGGGTGCAGACCTTATGCTCCTTGGGACAATAAACCAACTCCTGTATTTATCCAACCTCAAAGATGTGCACAAGACAGTAGAATTACAGTGGATGCTCAGGTTGCGAACGTGATCTGTGCAGGATGCACGTACCCGCAGCAGCGTGTCTGCGCATACGTGGGTTGTGATTCGGTGCTTCTGCGCATGCGCAAAGCACAATTTAGGGTTTCTGCGCATGCGCGACTGCCGAAACCCGGAAATAACCCGTTCTGGTATTTCTGGGTTTCGGTGGTCCGCAACCCAAAAAGACGCAACCTGAAGCGTCTGTAACCCGAGGTATGACTGTATATGGCTATCTGAAAACAAGACCAGCAGAGCTGACATGCTGTAACTTGTAAAATATCAGCATGTCCACCAATAAACAACTGGTCTCTCCAACACTGCAACTGGGACAAATGCATGATGCAACAAGGTCTTTGGATGCAACAAGGTCCAGCGCCCTAAAGCAAAACAGCTGGACTGAATTTTAGCATTTTAATTGTGAACACAAGGGAATGTGTGAAGAGAAGATGTGGGCAGGGAGCACTCAATACCGAAAAATTGTGGGTGGGGGCTTGTCCATAACAGAATCCACAACGCAGAATACAACATGCCGGCAGCTAGAAGCCCAACAGTGAAATCTGCCCAAGTGATTCCTCAAACTGCCAAGCCAACTCCAGAGCTAAAAGAGAAGTATGTGAGCATGGTGGGAAGCAATGGGGGAGGGGGGGAGAAGAGCATGAAAAGAGCTTTGGAAAAGCAAAATCAACTGCAGGCCCAGAGCTTTATATGCCCCACACCCGCCAAAAGCTACCTCCCCACCCCTGCCATGTTATCCCAGCCCTTCTCCAAGAAGTTCAGCGCGGCCCCTATCCATTGTAACATCAAAGCAACCTTGCTGTTGTTTGTTGTTTGGTAATTTGTTTTAATCTGTTTTTCATATTACATTGTTTGTTTGTTTTATTGTTTATAAAAATATTTATGTACTGCTGCATCATAAAAATATATCACTGTGGTTTGCAACAATATAAATACATAAAACCGAATCAATGGTTGTAACCTACCCTGGGACTCTGTAGCAAAGCCCAGGTAATAAATTCAAAGGCTGTCCGGTGAAAGACATGATTGGATGAAGATTTGAACCTGAATCTCCCCAGTCTTAGTCTAGAGCGGGGGGGGGGGGGGGAGAGAGAATACAGGTACAGATGCCACTTTATTAACACAGCTTGTTTGGCCATTGTTGTTGTTGTTGTTTTTTAATGCAACCCCCTCCAAGGGTCAAGCCACTTCTTGCACAGGGGGACCTTTGTTCTTAAACCTCAGTTCTCAAGTAGGAGGTTGGCTCTCCTGATTTTTTTTGTTCGTGTTTTGCTGTTCCTGAACCTCCCATGGGGGCTAACAGCTTTTAGGAGATGGGGAGGCACAACTACTCCTTTAGAATCCTGAATCCTTCCTTAAAGGAGCCAGGATTTATCCCTAAAAGTAAATAAATAAATAAATAAATAAAATGATGATGATGATGATAAACAGGCTGCCCATCATTCTATTCAGAATGCAATGCAGTCTCTTAAACAACTATCCTTAGATCATGTACTTCTTTGCAAAGTTCTCTCTTCTGCAAGAGTGAGCACTTCCTTTCCCCCTCCCTCTTCCACCTCTCTGTGTAGACATTAAGACATGTTGGGGGTTCCCAACCTGCCATGATGGGAGGGTGCTTAGGGAGTGCGAAGGAGTGTGTGTGAGTCCCTGTCAGGGAAGAATCATAGAATTGGAAGGGACCCCAAGGGTCATCTAGTCCAACCCCTTCAATGCAGGAATCTCAGCTAAAGAAGGCGGGGTATGAGTTAATAATAATATTTTCCCTAGTCAAGGAAGCAGATGCAGAGAGCACGCCGGACCAGGAGGCAGCGATCCGTGGCCACCAGCTTGGATGCCTCCAGAAGAGGATTAGAGGCGAGGGCTGCCAGCCACGCGGCCGGAACCGGCGTGGGAAGAGGATGCCGGACTCGAGGGGCCCCTGGGGGCCAAAGGCGGGACCGAGAGAGAGAAGAGACCCCAAGTCCCGGGCCAGTTGGGAGAGGAGCTGCAACTTGCAAAGAGCAGGAGCCGGGCAGCTGGGCTGTTCACTACTGTCTGTTCCCTTTAAGAAAGTGGGGGGGGGATCTGATTAACACCACCAGGAAGGGCCAGAGGAGAGTATTTCTGCCGGGGGGGGTACCTGGTGCTGCTGCCCAGAGACACCCGCTCGCTCTCTCGCTCTCGCCGCCGCCGCCGCCGCTTTCCCTTTTGCACCTGGAGGCTCCAGGACCGGCTCGCCAGGAGCCAGGGGAGACGCGCCGAGGGACGATCGCACCGATCGCCACACTAATCTATGGCTCGGCGGTCGACTTCTGAGCAGCCACTCGAGTCTATCTTGTTGGACTACAACTCCCATCATCCCTGAGCTCCGGCCTTGCTGGCTGGGGTGGGTGGGACTTGTAGTTCAACAACATCTGGGGACCCACAGGTGGAGAAAGGCTGTAGCAACTCGAAGGCGGAGCGGGAAAAGAGAGGAGGATTATTTTGCCTGCAAGGAAAGAGTAGCGTTGCTTTTTGCGCTGCAGCAACAGAGGGGCGAGCTGTGCGGGCGAAGAAGGCAGCAGCTGCTCCACGGAAACGCCGCGAAAGCAAAGCCAAATGCGGCAGCAAGCTCTGCGAGAGGAGAATGGCAGCTGCTGCCTCCCCGGCTGCTCCTCTGGACCTCGAGAGAGAGAGCCGGTGGCAGGAAGGGGAGGGAGAGGGGGCTTTTCAAGCGCCGCAGCGCCGTGACCGGGCCGAGCCCCGCCTCTGCCAAGCCTCTGCCAAGCCGCAGCTCTTAAAGGCGCCGCCCAGAGGAGGCGAGAGGCTTCCCGGGCTGCGCCTTCGCCCTCCCGCCGCCCCGTTCTCATAGACATCATACATCTTAAGGGTGTTGGGTGGGAATTGTAGCTTGGTGAGGAGGAAGCTGCAGGTCTCCAGAATGTTTTGGAGGGGGAAGTCATGTGCACTAAAAGTGGTTTGTAGATGTGGCCCTGCTCTCAGTGTGCACTAAAAAGCGGCTAGCAGAGGGATTTAAAACAACTGGTGCCCAGGCTTGGAAAAGCAGGTTTATAAAATTGTAGAGTTGGAAGGGATCCCAAGGGTCATCTAGTCCAATCCCATCTGGCGGTTCTCTCGCTGCAAGAAGTCAAGTTACAGGGAACCAGGCAGAGGGCCTTCTCAGTAGTGGCACCCACACTGTGGAACACTCTCCCATCAGATGTCAAAGAAATAAACAACTACCTGACATTTAGAAGACATCTGGAGGCAGCCCTGTTTAGGGAAGCCTTTAATGTTTGACAGACTATTGTATTTTAATATTTCGTTGGAAGCTGCCCAGAAATAATAATAATAATAATAATAATAATAATAATAATAATAATAATAATAATAGTATGCCTCCGGGAGATCTTGAGAATATCTTTTATCTTATTATTTCCCTTTCTCCTCCCCTTCACTTCTCAGAGATCAGTGAAAAGTGTTGGAGAGATCAGACCTCCCCCTCCAGGTCCACTTTAAATTCTTTAATTAAAGAAAATCCATGGAGTGTTTTTATTATTATTGTAAATTGAGTCATATACTACAAGCCTTTGCATGTATACTGAGAAGTAAGTCCTACTCAATTCAATGGAGTAAGCTCCCAGGTAACTAGGTAAAGACTGTGCAGTCTTATACTGCAATCCTAAGTAGTATTTTTACTCATAAGTTCCACTGTGTTCACTCTCAGGTTACTGATCATTCTCACAGTTTTCATTGTATTGTTGTTGTTGTTGTTATTATATATTGATGCCTTTCCTGTGGGAAGTGCTTGACATGTGAAATGTCTGTGGGGAAAAGTGCCTTTCCTTAGCAATATGTGAAGCAGGGAATCCGCACCCAAGGAAGGACACAGCCTGATCCTGTTCTCAAGCCACTTGGTCTCTCCAGCTCAAGGGTGTTACCAAAAACATGCTCTGAAGCAGGCTTCCTCAACCTCAGCCCTCCAGATGTTTTGAGACTACAGTTCCCATCATCCCTGACCACTGGTCCTGCTAGCTAGGGATCATGGGAGTTGTAGGCCAAACACATCCGGAGGGCCGAGTTTGAGGTCTGAAGTAAGAGTCACTTCAGAGGCTCAGAGAAGTTGGCATGCTCTTTTCTACTTTTCTGTTGCAGGTGGATGGTTGTCTCTGTGCATATTAACCATACTTGCCTTCCAAACGTAAGAGGGAGGGTGCTAAAAAGAAAACACAATGAATCAGTACAAATATTATATAAAACTTTGTATTCAAATAATATATTGCTTAATTTTATGCCCTTTAAAAACCAAATGTGTTGAGGGGTGGGTGTACATCTCCAGTGGATGGAGGGATCGTGGCAATGGGTGATTTGATCATTGGGAACACAGATAGTTAGGTGTGTGTTGGGCATACAGAGAGCAGAGTGCATGAAGGTTGCAGATGTGGCTTCTTGGCTAGGCAGTCTTGTAGACAGTGATGGAGCGGAATCATGTTAGCACCAGTGGCATGGGAAAATGTTTTTGTGAGGTCCTAGAAGCTAAATTTCGGTTGCTAGGTAGGATGCCGAAACCCAACCTCCAAGGTGGCTTTCTCTGAAATGCTACCATTTCCACAGGCAGGGCCATCTGGACAGCTGCAGCATTGTAGTCTCAATGTGTGAACCACACCTGATTCACTTCTGCCCTCTAGTAAGTTGGAGCCATAAACCACAGTCCTGACTTAATATTACTTCTGAACTGGGGCTCATGGCTTGTTTCAGAAATCCCCAAATGTCTAATAGCATGCTCTCCAATACGAAGAGGCCCAAAACCGGGACACCATCTTCTGGGGCTTCACTTTGCCTTGAGTCCCATAACCTGCACAAGATTGCAGCCCCCCCAGCACGTTTTTGGGCACAGCACCCCAAAACATTTGTTTTGAGGGCCGTGCAAGATCGCTGCTTCAAAGAAAGCACTTTTTTGGGGCAAGAATGCGGCCAGAAATCACAGCAGCCTTTTTGGCCGACATCCTCTCACAAGGACATCCCATTTTTTTCTGGGACAGTTGACGGGTATGTGATAGCTAAAATACTTTTTTTCTGAGTTAATATTGGAACCCCCTTCATCTTTACACATGAAAAGATACTTTCAGGGTGCTTAAGAGAACAAAATCTGGTTGCAACAGAACTTCTTTATAATGCCCCATTGGGGGCTGGACGGAGGCCAAGAGAGAATGGTGATTCATGCAGGAACACAACAGGCATGTTCTTCAAAGGGTGTGTAATTGTGCAGTCTCTGTGTCAAAAGTGAGCGAATGCTCCAATTGCATCTGATGCAGAGACTGGGCAGAATTACTCTCCCCTGGTGGAGGCTGAGATGCAGGAAAGCTGGAGCAATTTATCATGCAGAGATGCAGCAAACAGGCTCCTCTATGGATCAGTGCTTTGAGGTCACAGATGTCTTCAGTTACATATTTATTTCTAATGACATGCTAGTAGTACTTTGTTGACAGTCTAATATGCTTCACCAGTCACCATGCAGTCTGGGAGCTACTCAGTCAGAGATAATTAGGCTTTGCAAGTGAAGAACTCTGCCCCACTCAGATGGTTCAGTTGCATGTTAAGTTATGGGAGTCACTTCAGTTTTTCATCTCACTTATTTTAATGTAGTTTGCCTTTTACTTATGTTTCCAAGGTTTTACTTCGCATTTTATTCATTCACAACCATCTATGCTTTCATGCCTTTGGCTTTAAAAACAACAACACTTTTATCTATTGTAAGAGTCATTGCTTTAGATCAGTAAACCCTTTTTAAGATCTAATCCACCAACTCCGTTGCTTTCTATTCAATTATTCATACTGTAACACAGAGGCTTCTAAACGCTAGTTCACACATGTAGTACACATTAATCAAAGATAATGTTACTGCTTCCAAGAACAAGGGGGATATTTACAGGTAATATTCCTTTTAATTTTGCAATGCATTTCCTAGTCTATTTCACAATGGCAGCATCTTTGAATGTCTTTAATGTGTCTGGTGGGTAGCCGTGCGATCCCACCACGTCTTCTCAGAAGTTCAATGGAATTTACTCCCAGGTAAGAAGTGGATAGGACTGCAGCCAAAGAATAGGAATGATGGCCCCTGTTCAAATATCACTTCTCTCACCAGGTGGCATTAGGCAAGCCACTATCTCAGTCCCACCCCCCCTCCACCTCAGTGGTTGCCAGCTGACCAGGAAAAGAAACTGACTGGTCTGCTTTTGTGACATTGACAGCAGTTTGCTTGTAAGCTTTTCACAGCAGAAAGCAGGGCCGGCCCAGCCAGGAGGCAAGGTGGGGTGACTTGGGCAGCAGATCAGGCCTCCAAGAAGTGCCTTGCCCCCTGCCGCAGCAGCAGTGTGGTATCTTTGCAAAGAGGAGGCGCTGCTTGTGTCCCCCATGCCTGGGGAGGGAGTGGTGGGGTCTCCTAAGCTCTGCCCCCTCCCAGCATGATTCAGAGTGGGAACCCTTTCCTCCCACATTGGCCTTTGATTCCCTCTTCACCTGTTGGGTAATGTGGATTTGACCTCCTGTGGTCCATTACTTCACAAGATTTTGCAAACTCTGGCCAAGTTTGGAAAACTACATTTGGGCTTAATAAACTGAGTTATGTAAAGAAATGGTACCCTTTCATCACTTACTCAACAGAACATCAATTACAGTGGCAGCCACTGAGCTCTGGGGTCACATTTCCCCATAGGATTCTGTGTTTGGGGGTGGGAAGGGGAAAACATTGGGTGAGGGGGGGTTATGTTCTCATCTTCCTTTTGAAAAACCAATGAAAAGCATTTAGAAGAAAAAGAAAAGAAGAAGGTGAGCTATGCACAGGCTGCATGGCAACTGCTTCTTCCCTTCCTGCAAGTGAGCAGTCAAGCCAGGAAGCTGCAGCTAACCGTAGCCTCTTGTTATGTCTGAACCAGAAATGATGGTATCCGGCTTCCTAGCAAGCAGCATATGAAGTTATACTTTAAAGTTGGCTTCCGTACCCTGGCTTGTTCAGAAGCCATTAAGCAGAGTTCCCAGTTCATATTGGAATCTCTGCTTAACTGTGGTTTCCTGGCTTGTGTGGCTACTTGTGAGAAGGGAGGAGTGAACTGGCTGCCGGAAGCTTGTGCAAATCTCAGTTTATGAAGCCAGGATTTGATTGTTCCCTTTCTCATAGCAATGACTTCTTAGGGCAGTGGTTTTCAACTAGTGTGCCGTGGCAACCCTGGCCTCTGTCCCTCTTTCCTCCCCTCCCTCCTCTGATGCCCTCTTGCCTCTCTGCCTCCCAA